CAAGCAAGCCTAGGTGATGCAGCTGTCTACCCTGGCTCTGGTGCTGGCTGGTTGTTCTCAGCTCTTAGATGCGGTGTCCATAGCACTTCAATTATTTGCTTCAGGGGACAATTATACTGCTGGCTTTTCCATCTCCAAACTCTCCTCCTCTCTCGCTCTCTCTCACACGCACACACACATTTTTCTCATCTGAAATGTTATGACTGACATCAAGGACAGTGAGCAAGACACAAGTGACCTAAAACACCCCATCAAAACCAGTGTAGCTATGCAGCGATATCTACTTCACAAGACATCTATCCAAAGTGCTCTAACTTTATGTTCACCATCTTTTCTAACCCTCCTCACATACACACACACACACACACTCTTCCCTCCCCTCTATCTCCCTTCCTCCTGCACTCCATCCCTCCTCTCCCTATCTTCCTCTCTTCCTCTTCTCTCTCTGGGTTTGGGGACAGTAGAGTGACTTTGAAGTTGTGCTGCTTCAGGAGGAGAGAGAGTAACTCTGGCTAATTAGTTGTCCTTATCCCAACAGCAGCGGCAGCCACCACCAGCTCACTGGCTCAGAGGGAGAAACAGAGCAGGCATCAACAGCAACTACCAACTGCTGCATGCTAAAGATACCCTCCACCCTCTGCTAGTTGTTAGTGCTAGTGGCTAGCAACAATTTGACTCACCCCGAGACTAAACTGGATTAGTGAAGTTGCTCCACTCAGCATAATAATAGGTAATATAGTATGAAATATGGTACAGTAATACCCCTGCTCTCGGGGAAAGCATGTCAGAAAATAGTGGACTGCATTGGCAAGATTCTACAACATTTTTTCCACCATATTGTCGGTTTTACAGTTGGTGTTTGGCAGCATTGCAATAACAGACTCGTGGTTTTCCATTGCACAGGAGTTACACTATGCTCTTCAGGTCAAGAAGAAGCAGCGTATGCTTTAACCATGCAATGGAAGTCTCACAAATGCAGAGGAAAAACTAAATCGTGTAAGCACTTCATGAACATCGCAAAGAGTTCTACAAAGGTGAGTCACATTAGATTACATTGAAACTAGCGATACATGGATGTTAGCCTGCTTTATTAGTAGGACTGTGTATTATAACGCATTGCTTTCTCAGATCTGATTGGTAATCTTGCTTTCACTGATATAATAGTTCCTGATTTAAATAATAAATGTCAGTTTTAATTCCATTTTATTGAGGCAAAGATTTGGTAGAGTAGGGCTGCTTGTATTCAGACATTTTAGCTTAATTTTGTTGAAAAAAATGGTTTTGTAGCAACACATGTTTATATTTCCCAAAGTGAAGTACCACAAAGAACAATTGTTTTGGTACTGGTACCAAAATGCTGGTCCTGTATCGGTACTACTATGGACATTTCTTAAATCCTACCCAGCTTTGCTTAACAGGGTTTCTAATGTATCTGGCGCATGGCTCAGGTTTTATTTCCCAGCATTCTCAGGACACCAGCAATTATAGAGTTGTCATATTTTTGTGTGAATATGAATTATGTTTACTTCTGAGTTCTATTCTCAAGAGCGTGCAAGCATTTGGTGGAAGTGTGCAAAAAGAGAATTTGTCTTACTCATCATATCCGCTGTAGAAATCGTGAATCAAATCTCGCTGTTCTTTGTAATTATGCAGTTTGTATCGGCCTGATATGTGTGAATGTCACATTAATGGTTCAAGAACAAAACACACTCACTCCTAACGGGAAATATGAGTAGAGACGTGGTGTACCTACAAAAGTGTCTGTGTTATCTTGTCCCACTGCATGTCCATCTCTCTCCCCTGAGTCTTGCTCTCTTTTGCCCCCCCCCCTCTCTTCACAGCCCCACGGCACAAAGACATGGATTCAAGGCGAGTAAGAGGGAGAGAGGGCTTGCCGAGTTTCAGAAACATTAAGTACTCCCTAGAGAGACTCTCTCACACATGCTCACACATACGGTGTTGGTTCTGGGCTTCTCCTTGTATCGGATCGCCACGCTCCATTCTGTTTGGCCTCAGTGCCAATGACTGGTGACATACTGTCATATGTGCACATACTGTGTATTCCCTTCCTGTCCGTTTTTCTCTCATCACTTAAAACATGACAAGCAGCCACTTCCCATTCAACCAACTCCATTGTTATGTTTTCTGCTGAGATACAACACATTGGGCTGCACTTGCTCTTTGAAGTATTCAAGGCTCATTCGCTGGTAAAAAAAAAACCCCGATATAAAGTTCACAGACAAATTCATTACACAAGAAAATTCAATGTCTTTCTGGTCCAGCCTGTGGACAAAAGAGTTCGACACTAGTTATACAAAGTTCAACACACTGAGTGGAGGAAAGACCTCAATGCCATTTCCATTCTGAGACAATTAATTCAACTCGTCTCCTCGTCTCCACGGACCCCTGACTACCAAGGCCAGTCGGGGGAAGGACAGACATCGAGGGAAGACGTGTGTCACGGAGGATGTGCTCGTGCACATACATATGAATATGTGTGTCCGTATGACATATGCACACACATTCTACTCTTTTGTGTGTAGGGCCTGCATGCGTTCATATATGTGTGTCGTCAGCGTGTTGCATGCACACACACACACACACACACACACACACACACACACACACACACAC